GTGGGGCTGTGAGCAACCTGGTGTGGTGGAAGGTGTCCCTGCCCATGGCAGGGGTTTGGAACTGGATGGTCTTTAAGGTCCCTTCCAACCAAGCCGTTCTATGATGATATTACATTGCCTTACAAAAGCTGGGCATGCTTCCCATCCCTGCTTTCTGGGCAGCAGCTGCTGGACCTTCTGCACTGGGGTGGCCCTGGTTGCAAAACTCAGTGAGATCTGCTCCGTTTGGCATGTGCGCTCCATGCTGGAGGTGGGCACGGACAACAGACAGGAGGTTGTGATGGGAGATGGGAGCAACAAGCAGGACCATGGCGGTGAGCAGGTGACGTTGTCAGGCTCTTTAAAAAAAAAATTGAAATAAATCAAGAAGACATGTTTGGGAGCCAAGGCCACACAACCTCAGATCTGAGGTCTGTGTGGGGCACATCACAGCCTAACAGACTGGCGAAGTCCGTGCTTAGACTTCCAAGACGTGGAGCGTGGTGTGCTGTAAGCTGCACAGCCAAATTACGCTTTGAGGGGCCTGTGCCACTCTGCTTAAACAGCTCAACCTGCAGCACCAGACACTCCTAACCTACTTTTCCTGGGCCATTCAGTGTTTCATAGCCTTTTTTTTTTTTTTTCCTCCCATTCACCTGCTTCCTGGAATAATCCTGGTTATTCAGCATCTTTTCCTGTGAGGTTTTCCAGGCCCTCAGTCATATTCTTTACCTTCTCTGAACCTTTAGGTTCTCCTTGACGTTCACAGTCCTGATGCTTCACGTGCTGTTCCAACTGAGACCGTGGTACCCAGGACGTTATTCCCCAGGCTAGTCCCTACCGCATGCTAACGCCTTCCTTGTTTTCAGCTGCCTCACGTGTTTGTGCCAAGATCTATCCAGAGCTGTCTAAAAATCATCTTCAGTTACTTTTTCTGAGTTGATACTGTTAATTTAAAGCTCTCATATAGCTCTCCAGTTTGCATTTTTTGCCTTTATCTGCTCTGAACTTTGTCACTCTGCTGCCTGTTGACTGAGAATATTTAAGTTTTCCAGTTTTCTCCCGATTTCACCTAGGAAAATCGTATTTCTGTTCATCCGCCTCATCACGTCTCACCCTTGTCTACCCTTCTCAGTTGATTAATAAATATCTCTGTGACTGTGATACACCGATGACTCCAGTTTTGCCTTAGTGAAAAATAATTTCTGCTTTGCGTCCTACTTTCTCACTTACTTTTGACAAAACTTTGCGTCTTGCCTTGTGACTATTTAGTACCCAGCTTCTTGGGGCATCTGAAAGTCTAGATGGCATCAAACGTTCTCCTTTGGTGCAGGTTTCCTGAACAAATGAATTGTAATGTTAGTGAGACGCGTGTTTCCACTGTGAAAACCCCACTTGCTGGAGCCTAACGTTACCAGCAGCCTAGAAGAATATTTGTGGTGAGTTGCGGTGGGATGGGGGGAATTGAAATGATCTGTGTTTAGAAAGGAGATATGAACAAAGGCATGATCCCAGGGTATAAAACGCTTCTCTGGAGAGATCATAATTTCGTTTCCTACTGTAACATGATCCTCCCACTTCTGTTTTTGTGAACACTCACAGTAATTCCATAAGGTGTGGGATTGTGGTTTATTAGTTTCAGTCTTCCTGGATCTTCCCCAGATCAGATGATGTTGTGACGGTACATTTAGTATCTTGTATCCTTTGAATAAGTACATTTTTAATTAAACAGTTGTCTATTTTTACGGTAATTTTCCAGAGGTGCTTGTGTGGCATTTGACAGCAGTTTCAGTGATTTAATTTGTCAGGTACTGGAGGGATGCTGTTGCTGGAGACGTAACTGGTGGCCAAAAATAGACATGTATTCAGAACATCAGAATACCTAGAATTAAGAGAAGTTATATATGACCGCTCTACATGGCTTGCTGCTGGGCCATGTCATTACTTTGCATCGTTAGCTGGTGCTTAAATAATCTGTTCTTCCGTTGCTCTTACTACATCGAAACTGGATGTATGAACTGCAGTGAAATACTGCGATGTGGGGCTGTGCACTTGGCTGATTTCAACGGTACTTGCTGGGGGGGTTCACATAGTGCTGTCTTCCAACAGTTAATTTTTACCTTATCAAAACCATTGTGTATAATTGGTATTTTAAAAAAAAAAAAAAAGAAAGAGATTTTAGGGTTGATCCACACAAAAAGCATAAGTACACCACAACACGGAGCTTGTTTTCCCCATATACTGGATGCCTGCTTATGCAAGCGATATCCCAGGCAGGTAGTATTTTGAGTTCAAATTAAAGTGAACCAACTTCTTGAGGTATGCCTAAGATTATTCCGTGAGGGTTGGGACATATATATACAGATAATCTCTGCTGCTGATGACTGCCAGGGAGATTACAGGTGATAATATAGTGGTTTGCCTCGGCAGGCAACTAATGGTTCTTCACTGAATTACAGCGTGTATCTATAATTGGTCTTAAATTTACAACTGTAGAGCTCAGTGGCAACAATAAGATATTAAGATATTAATGTTTCCCAGTGGCAACACTAAGCTGTGTTTGCTGAACTTCTGGAAACTGTCAGAATATTTCAGATACTGGGAAGTCTGTTTTCTTGGTAGCATATGGGCTGATGAAGTCACAGAATGGTTTAAGTGGGAAGGGACCTCTGGAAATTTGTGATCCAACCTCCTGCTCTGAGCAGAGCTAACTTCAGAGCTGGAGCGGGTTGCTCAGCCTCTTGCTCAGCTGAATTTTGAAACTCCCTGAGGATGAAGGTTACACAGCCCCTCGGAGCCCTGTCCCACGGCTGCCACCCTCCTGGGGAGATGTTTTTCCCTTCTGTCCTGTTGGAATTTCTGCTGCTGCATCTTCTGCCTGTTGCCTCTTGTCCTTTTGCTGTACTTCTCCGAGAAGCCTGGCTCCATCTCCTCTGTACCCTACCTTTGTCAGAGGGTACAGTCATTTGAAGATTAAAACACCTTTGCTTCTTTTTGGAAGGCAGTAGTAAAGTTGATTGAAGTGCACTATGATTTTCTTAGTAGTAAGTACCTTACAGGAGTGGAGTGGGAGTCAGGAGACTGGAGCCCAGATTCAGACTAACCTGAGAATGGTACAAACATTTAACAAAAAACCAAATGAACTAAAAATCTCACTCTTGATCACTTCACCTTAGAGGTGCACAGATAACTCTGGGTGCTTTCTTGTTTGCCTTAGAAGTTTGCCAGATGCTGTAGCTCTGCGCTCCATGTTCCCAGAATAGCCCTAGGCAGCATCGCTGGGCAGCGAGCTCCTGTTTAAAGATTTTATTTTGAGGAGCTTGAGCCCACTGATGATCCTTACGCATTCTTGCCTTGAATACCCTATCCTTAAGAAAACACAAAGCCAATTTAAAATATGGGTTGAGCTATGTCCACCTCTATAGAAAAACCTGCTGTACTCAACAGTACGGGGCTGGACCGGCTGAACTGACCTCACAGCTTGCTGCTGAACAGAGCTGTCCTCTTCTCTTCCCCTCTTTATCATCACCCAGAACCTCACCCACTTTCCGTTGCAGTGGCTCTGAGGCTCATTGTGCCCTTCCCTCGCCAAGTTTACAAAAAAGGGCAGATTTGTGTTGGGTTGGTGAATTGATAGGGTCTGTGAGCACCAGGACTAGCTCAGGGTCTGGAGTTAGGACCTCCTGGAAGGGACAACAAGACGTTGTTCTCAATGGCATCTCGCTCTGCCTCTTGCTGAGGAAGGGAGAGGGTTCTGTTCAATACCCTTGCAGCCTGAGGGCACTCCAGCTTGGGTCTTGTGCTTGCCAAGATCCCTGTGCACAGGCTTGCCTCTCCCAAGGTTCTTCTGGCCCATTCAGTCTCTTCTTCCTTCTTGCAGAATGGCAAAACTTCAGCAAAACCGGTGGAGCCTGCCCGTGCTCAGCTAGCACATCCACTAACAGGCAGGGGAACGGTCGTCGTCCGGGTTTTCCATTTGTTGGGCAAGTTGCTTACCTACATTCCAAGGCGCAGATGTTTTCAAAGAGGGAAATGGGACCTGCTCAAATCTAGGATGGGCCAAAGCATCTGCTTTCAAATGACTCGGGTCTGGATTGTCACAGACCTTGGTGGCACCTTGTTTAGCTCTGTGGGGCGGGTATTTTGCATCAGGCTTTTGGGGTGACAAAGGCACATATATAATGTAGGAACAACAGCCATCTGCTTGGAAATGGTGTCTGCCAGTGGACAGGGATGCAGGTTGAATGTTGCTGGGGGAAAGCATCTGTCCTTTATTTGATTGAAGCCGAGGACTTGCCCAGGTTGCCACTGCGGTGCTGGATAACTCTGGGAACGTCGCTTCTCTGAGACTCTGCATTTCTCTTCGTAAAATGGGATTACGGGGTCCATCTTCCTTTCCACTGTTTCAAGATCTATGGAGAAAACCTGTTTGAGAGCTATGTTTTGTGTATTTGCTATGCAAGTTTTGCATGTTTACTGCTGCAAAGTTTTATTCTGCATGTTCTCGCAGTGATTAGTGGGACTGAAAATTTGTTGCTTTACAGGTCAATCGCTTTAATAAGGTGGAGGACAGAGCAATCTTCATCACTGATCGACACCTGTATAAGATGGACCCTATGAAGCAGTACAAAGTGATGAAGACCATCCCCCTCTATAATGTAAGTACAAGGACTGGGGAATCTCATCTCGGGCTGTCATAGTCACGGGCAGTGCATCTACTGTTTAGCTCCATTATCATATCCATAAAATGGAAAAAGACCTTGGTTTACGTTTTTTAATATATTTAAAACAGTTACAGTGCAATTATCTACAATACTGATGCATAATGTTAGCTTTTCATTTCAGTGCATAAAAAAAAAAGCTAAAACCCAAACTGCTTATCACAGTCTCTTCTGCTCGTTCATCTGTTTGGGTTTTTATTTGCTGTGTACTGCAAGATCTTGGCCCCATGAGGGGGTTAGCATTTCACAGCAGCTTACGACACAGTTTCTGTGTCTCTGGGGGTTTGTTTGATCCTTCGTGTCGTATTTGAAATTATTTATTTTTTTTTTATATTTGTTCATGTTTAATGTAAATCTTATCAAAGCAAAATTCAGAATTATAGCGAGGTGTCTGGCCTTCGGGGTAGCAGAGTTTAGCTGCCAGTGACAAAGCAGCAGATTATCACTGGTAGGAAGGGGGATGAGGGGGGAAACCTCATCTCTGCTCTTCAGCATCTTTGAGTGTGGCTTCAACTGCTCGTTTGTTTTCCTCAGCCTGAGGTAACACCACTACGGTTATCTTCAACCTACAGAACCCGCCTGGGTTGCTTGGAAATGTTGTACACAAATTTGTTGGGATGTTTGCATTGGGAGAAATAATAAATCTGGCATCCCCGTATTGCTAAAAGTGCAGAGATGGGATTAGGGTAACGGTAAAATCTAATCTGCAAATGTGGAGTGAATGATTAGCTCAGACTGCATCCTTCATGTTGGTTTTATAGGTCCTCTTCTAACCTCCTTGCTGGTCATCCACCTAAGCTCTGCACCCACCACCCACCACCGCCTGTCGGGGGGGGACCATGCTCGTACCCTAGTAAGAGCATTTGCTGTAGCAAAGCAATGTCGCCGTGGCGGTGTCTCTTGTTTGGGGACAGGGAGCTAGCAGCTGCGGGTCATATTCCTCATTTGATGTTCTCTTCTACTGACATTCTCTCTTAATTGTGCAAAATGAAATTGTCAGCAGATTATGCTGCTAAGTGGCTGACTTTTGCTTGTGCAAACTCACTTGTTCAAATACACTCCAAGCAGGGTGTTTTTCCTAGATGAGTGGCGTTTTTTTCTGAAGTGTCAAGGTGAACTCAGGTGGCCAAGGTGGAATTTTGTCCATTACAGTTTCGCAGTATTAATTTTCTGTACTCTTACCTTATACAAAGTGGTTAGGCCACTGCAATTCACTTACTGCGTTAGTAATTATAGGTAAATCTGTATTTATCACAGCTTTAGAAAAATGTCTGCTTTACCAATGTGTCTGACGGGTTTAAAGGTGGAGCTTGTACATTTACATAACAGCACGAGGCCAGGTCACTCTTGGTAGTCTGAACATTTTCCTCTGAAATCCTTAATGCCTTAAAGATTAAAGGAGGTGAGCAAGTCAGGTACAATTTGTAGGTTGCCTGTAGAATGTCTGTTACTTAGAAATGTTAATAGTATTTTTTTATTTTCACAAAACACGAGTGTCTATCGTAGAGTATCCATTCGTACAGAGTAGGGTTAGGGGTTCGAGTTAGGCTGTATGTTGGCTGTCTGCTTTGCATTTCCTCTGGCAGGAAAGCAGTTGGTGGTCTGTGCATATAGGTCTCTTGCTCTTAGAATGCTTTAATTTCCATAGATATAAATCAGCTTTATTTGTAGCTCTGCAATTATTCCCTTTAGCAACCTGCCACGAGGCTTCTTGACTGAACGGTTTCCTTGACCTGAGCAACTGTCAATTGGTCCTGGAGTACTTTGCGCAGGAGGGATGGGTCCAAAAGATCCTCCACTGACTCATACAGGTGTCCGAATAATATTCCAGAGTGAAAATTTGATGAAATCTATCTTTGGTAAATGCTGTAGTGATAAATTTCTGGTTTGTTGGCTACAGCCTCTCCTTTTACGTGCTTGTCCTGCACTGTGGTCCTGGGGAAGACAAGAAAATCTGCACGTACGCCCCAGGATTGCATCGTGGTGCTAGGATGTGCTCACTGATCCTGTTGATTTACTGCTGACCCCTCTCTGCACTGCAGGAAGAGGGGAGAGGAGGGGGGAGTTTGGAAATTTACTTGGTTCATATATAGCACATGGAATATTTGTATTTCTTTTGCCAGGATTTCATAAATTGAACTCCTGCTAATGCTGTAATGCAGTTGTGTTTTCCTCTTGTAGTTATGTTTTATATTTGTTCCTAAATGATCTGAATGTGCGTTGTCCTTCACTTCTTAGGCTGCCTTGCTTCTCTCTCTTGTTTTTCTGCATCCCTGATCCCTCCTTGTGTGTAAACGCTTCCATAGTGTAGAGGGAGATGGTGTAAGTAGCCATTTAGTGATACAGATTCCTTCCCTTTCGGGGAAAGAGCAATTGTTTGAATTGATACAAAGATTTCTGAGAGCAAATGGATAATAATTAGACCAGTCTTGATGTATATCGGCGTATCAGATACGTCCTACTAGAAGGATGCATGTTCGCTGGGGAAGATGGATTGCCCTTCCGATATGTAAAGGTGAACCTGACTGAAATTCGTCTGCCTGTTAGCTGTGCTGCTCGCTGTCAGCATTTCGAAAGCACCCTATCAACACAGCAACATCCTTAGGGATGGTGTTTCCATGGAAATCTCATTGGAGACAGTCAGCTGATGCCTGTTAGGACCGTAAACTTGCTGTCGGCTGAAGAAATGGCACTACAGTTCCCTCTCTCCTTTCATTCCCTCTGTTTACATGTAAATGGTTTAAGTATAGCCCGTAACGCCTGCCTGCTCGGCTCCCAGGCTCTGCATTCTGTTAGTTTGTGTCCTGTGTGATCAATCTGTAATTTTGTGCAAACGATGACAAAGCAAGAACTTCCCTTTCAACCTTGACTATTTTGCTGTATTAAGATGCTATTTGGGGGGATTTTCTGTGTGCAAGCATTCTGGCAGTTGCCTCAGAAGTACCAACATACAATTATCTTTTTGTTCTTACCTGGAGAGAAAATAAACAGATAATGGCAGAAAGGAATTAAAAGGCAACTGAGCAGCAGAAAGGACCTTGCAATTACCTTTCCCAGTACGGTGGTGAATACAATAAAGGATGTTCTGTGGATGCTGAAAATTTTTTCCTGATCTTCAAGCAGAGCTAATATTAGTGTTTGTAAATACTGAGATAAGCACGTTCTCTGAAATGATTTCTTTTGTGTTATATTTATTTGTTCGGGTAGTCTTGTGGGGAGGGGTGAAATAGGAAAATTTTGAAGGGCTCTTGGACTTCTAACGTGGTTCTGTTGAATAATTAATGTTTAAATAGGCTTTTCAAATCCAGAGATTTCAACTTCTTCATCTTTCACACTCGGTGCACATTTAAAACCTTGATGGCAGTAGTCCCTGTGGTGCTATTATGCTCACAGGACGTTATTTAAGCATGCAAATTAATTTTAAGGGACACTATAAACCCAGGCAGCTGTTAATTTCTGTGCCTGAAATGTAGCTTGTTTTTGAAGTATTTCGTAACCTTAAAATAGCATGAACGGTAGAGAATAAACTCCACCTGTATTGGGTATATTCTGCAACTGGTAGCAGGTCTCTGCTCAGTGTTTAAAATAAAATAAAACACAGACTGTTGCACTGTGATACTCAGCCAACAAAATAGGAGCGATTCTTAAACTTGTGTAGTGTTTCATCCAGAAAATAGGGCAAACACTGCACTGCTGTGTGTTGGTTGTGGCATGCTTTTCTGGGACGATGCTACTGCCTGGTATGTGTTAGACATCCAGAGCTGGAACAGGTTTCTTGGAAATAATACGTTGTGACTACTAAACCCAACATCCAGACTGTTTCTGAATGTGATTCGTGCTTCTGAAAGGAGTGAGTAGTCTCCAGCTCGCTTTGTGCTAATAGCCTTTCTGACACAGGCAGTGGGGTTACATAGAAGGCTTTTTTTTCTTTAAGAAGGGAATAAGGAGACTTACGTTTCCGCGGAACGGTGTATCGGTGCCTCGCGCTTTTAGGAGAATGTGACTTCTCCCTGCAAACCTCTGAGTGACTCAAAGGAGTCGGGTAGTCCTTTAGTGGACAGGGAAGGTCTGCTGTATGCTCTCTCTGTACTCATCATTCTTTTGCCTTCCTCTCTCTCTGGTTTGGGGAGTTTTTGGTTTGGTTTTGGTTTGGTTTTTTTAGCACTGATTTGTTAAATGTACTTGCCTGTTGATGTTTCTTTTGCCATCCTTGTATTTTGCTTCCCCAGCACAGATTCATTTTTTGCTTTTTCTACTATTCGTCTGAATAGCCTGCGTACTCAGATCGCCACTCCTAAAAATTTCCTCCTCCTGCTTTGTGAGATGATGAGGACAAAGCTTTTAATGTGCCAACTTTTAGTTACTTAACAGACCAAAAAACAAACAAAAAAACACCCCCAAAAAAAAACTCCAAAACCCCACACCTTTTTATTTTGTCAGAACAGCAACACCTTAATCCATGCGTAAATACTGGAATCATTACGGCTTTGCAGAGTTTGCAACTTATATTCTTCCTCAAAATGTTTAGGCTTTCAGTAAACTTCATTCTTACATTATCTGCATATCGTTACGTTCCCAGCACTGCGTGTGTGAATTTGAAGATGGTTGTTGGCCAGACTCGTGATTATTGTTGATTTCCTTTGAAAAGACAAGAGAAGCAGGCTTATAGCTCTGCCACTGAGCAATGCAGTGTTAGCCAGGGTGAGATTTTTGGGAAAGCAATCTTTGGTTGTTAGAAATCCACCTGGTACACTCTTCGGTGAGTGGCCCGTGGTACTGGATGGGCAGAAAGGCACTGGCATGACACAGGACAGGGCTGCTTTGGGCAAGAGCTGCTCAGAGCGAACCCAGTCTAGACGGTAACATTTCCTCACACCTTTGAGACTGTTGACTTCCAAAAAAGATGCTGTTATTTCACCTTGGCTTTTTCAGTTGCGATTCCTCTGTGGTAGGTGTAGAAGGTCAGAGCGAGCGTTGCGTCCTGGAGAGGAAAGAACTAGCCTGACGAGTAGCAAAGGTATATCAACGTATATAATACTGGTCTTGCTTTCTCTTTACAGTTGATAGGATTGAGTGTCTCTAATGGAAAGGACCAGCTGGTGGTCTTCCACATGAAAGACAACAAGGATCTCATTGTCTGTCTCTTCAGTAAAGAGCCCTCTAACGACAGCAGGATTGGAGAGCTGGTGGGAGTCCTGGCACATCACTTCAAGAGGTCAGTGTTGAGAATGGATTTTGTTGAAAATTCAGTCTAGCGTGCCAAATCAGAAACTTCCCCTGAAGTCGTTTTGATGCCAGTCTTGAGCTTTATCTCTGTTACTTCACTGTATTACTAGGATAGCAGAGCAACATTTTTGCCTTGTATTTTTGAGAGGTGCTTTTGAGCCACCACATTTTGCTTGCCCCTTCTACCTTCCCTGTATGTGTGTATTAGAGCTTAGGTGTGTGGGGACAAATATCACTGAAGATGCATTTTGAGTGTGCCACAATGTCTCCTTAATGCTTCTTACGGTCAAACTCGTACCACGTAAAATTAAGATACAGCTATTCGTTTCTCAAATTGCTCTCCCTGCCCCCAGTGTCAGTAGATGATTTATTGCTTAAGCTGTAAAATGTCATCTCTGTTTCCTGAAAATTCTCTCTCTTGTAATTCAATGTGCAAAAGCTGTTTTATTGGTGAACTGAAGACTTAAGTGGTTATCTTCCACTGACCTTCTTGTAACTACAGCTGAAGTAGCGAGAATTACCTTTATAACGCAGAGCAAGTTCGGGATTGTCCAGACGAGCATCACAGCAGTGACAGCATTGCAGGCAGTCACAGAAAAGTAACTCTGTAGAGAACCGGTGTGTGGAGTGAACAGACCTTCAGAGTTGTTCCCTTGCTCCTCCAGAACAGATGCTCAAGAGGACTGATGTTGATCAGCATCACGTGCAGCGTTGGCTTTTGCCATTCACAATATCATACTCCATTTATGACCCATGACAAGGGGGGTTTGTAGGTAAATATTCATACAGAGCTACAAGTGACAGGACAATGGGAGTGAATTTAGGTGACGTTAGGTCATTTTTTTCATTAATTCCAGAACAGCATGCTGGTTTAGCCACTTACCATCGCTACAGTGTAAAGTTCACTGATGTCTGTAGTGCTGAAGGTTGGTGCTAAGTTTATGTGAAATGAATTCTCAGCGTTGGCATAACTTGTTTGGAGAAATTCAGTGCTGAAAATCAAACTGAAGACATTCACTGTTTCTTGCATTTACCTAAATATGGTTTAATTTCAAAGGTAGCTACTCTTGAAGGCTCAGGAGATTTTGGGTATTGTAAAGCAACACACTTCATGTCGGGGAATCCTGTGAAGTAGCTGGGGTTCTCTCATGTCTGGCGTGTTTTGAACACAGGTGACATCTTCAGATAGCTGATGCTCCTCAGTGCCTTAATGAGTCTCTAATATTGGGAAGAGCTGTGAAACCATTGATTACACTCCAGATTCTGCATGTTCAGTGTTCAGACTGCCCTGGTTTGCTGTTCCTTTTACTTAGACGTTATTATGAAGTACCCAGCCTTTTCGTCACATATCCAGTAGAGCTCACTGGGAGGCACATGTTCTTCATTTTAAGAAAGTATGTTGTGTGGCCATCAGTCTAAAATATTGTGCCTGTCATTTAAGGGTATAAACTATTGATTTTCAATTTCTTATACTGATTTAACAATGACATTTTTATCTTTTAAAAGAATTCATTTTTATCTAATAATCATTGTCTGTAGAAAAATGACAGTTGAATACTCTTATATGCTGTTTAATCTTCACTTAATACAATATTAGCTTTTTTTTTTTCCTGCTTCAAATGGCAAACCTCAGCACAGCCGGTTAAATGGGAGAGCTGGTCTAAAAGCCCCTTTTTCTCCAACATCTAATAAAAGTTACTGGTTTAATGGTAATGTACAGGAGCAGCTCATGTTTAATTTTCCAAATATCCAAATGTCATGGTTTCCCTCTTCAAAGCAATATCTGTAAATCAAAATAGAAGGAAATAATCTTGTTTTCAGCCACTTTCCATTTTCTAAGAGTAAAAAAAAGAATTCTGTCAGTGAATGGGATTAGCTGACCCCTTGCTTGAGAGGCACTTTGGGAATTCCTCATTAAACGGGATTAGCTGGAAGTCACCGTGTGCCTGATGGCGAGCGTCAGGTTTCTCCATCCTGCCCGTCAGAAAGTGATTGCTGTGAAAAGAAAGTGGATCCAGCAGTAAAATCTTGAGCCTGAAAGTTCAATTGCCAGGTGACCCTGTAATGGGACTTCAGAGCTGTGCTCCTCCTGGGACGTGGGGAGCAGCTTCCTTGGGTTACAGCCTGGGGGTCTCGCTTCAGGTCCTCTCTGAACATCCAAAGCAATTTCCAGCCATCTCAATACCAGTCTTGAAACGCCTGTTACGAGGTTTTAGCAAGGGTAAGGTTGCACGGCTACCCTTGGTTATGTGTAGCGTAGTAGGTAACAATACTTATGTACCTGTGTAATAAAACCATGTAAAATTCTATGCCATTCTGTTTTAGAGTGTAGGAAAGATGAGGAGGAGGCTGGTGGTGACATCTATGCTGAGGGCACCTAAACCTTCTAATTCAGATACTTTGGTTCAGTTTTGATTCTTTTTCCAAACTCTTTGAACTGGAAACTTCAGTGCCGACACATCTTGCGTTGGGAATTTTGGCAATTTTCAGCAAGAAATAATTTAGACATTTTTAGAAAAAGTTTAGAGGTAATGGCTCTAGATGCTGTATTCTGGCAGATGGTTTTGGAGGAGTTACACTGTTCCTGTTCTTAGGCATAAAGGCTTCAAATTTGGGAACATACTGCCTGAGTTCACATCTTTTCCTTTGCCCGTGAAGATCTACCTGAAACTGCATCTTTTTAAAATTATTCCTAGCACGAGCTTTCTTACTTTCAGGTTGAGGTCACAAATTAGTATTTAAATAGCATAAAACTGACATGATGCTTCTATGAGTGATAAAATTTTGGAGTAGCGACTCTGCTGGTTAAGATAACGAATTGTGTATAGTCAAGTTAACGAATGTTTGAGTCGTACTTCTAATATATCAGCTAGATTATTTTTTTTAACAATGCAATTATTTAGGTAACTGAATTCCCAACAGAAATGATGAGAAAGCCGTCTGAGTTGCTGATGTAGCGACCACAGTAAGTTCATGCCTCCCTGCAGAGCAGCGTGTGGACGTGTTGTGGACTTGAGTTCACCTGGGTGTTTTCCTTGCTGTTCTCTGGCTTTGGCTGTCTTGGAGCCCTTGTGCGTGCTGGGTGAGAAGAACTGTGATTAAGCAGAGTGCATGAAATAGCTGGAAAAATCCTCTAGCAGCCCAGTGTGTTGGGTAGTCCCTGGTAGGAGCAAGCATATGAAATCTGGATCATGGGACACTTCTTGCGCTGCTTGGCAGGAAGAAAAGATGCTCTGAAGTGATGAGGGTGGCATATTGCTCTCATTGTTGGCTTGCCAAAGCATTTGCTTATGGCGCAGGGAAAACAGCTCTCGGAAGCTGTGGATGTGGTCACAGTGTCCCTTCAAGTGTTTGGAGCCCATGTTGAGGAGAAAGGGACCCAAGGAGCTCTTGGAGGAGTGAGAGTGGACATAAAAAGGGAGGACTATCAGCCAGGGAAGGACTTATCCATTGCATCTTTTACATCCACATTGCTTTCGTGGTCCTTAAGCCTCTAGAAGATATCTCAACTGATCAGTCCAACGTATTGAGAACTCTTTCTGGATGTACTTCAGAGCTGTACTTCACCAGAGAAGGCCTGATGGTAGCCGGTTTCCAAAGCACTGATTGCTTTTACGCTCGTCCTCTCGTGGCTCTCACGCTGCCTGTGTCACCTCCCGTGTCCGATCCTCCCTGCCGCCTGGAAGTGTCGTGATTTAAACACTGTGGGTTGTAAAGGCAGCTCAGATGTCACCACTAGAGATGACAGAGACCCGTCCTTTGTTCCCAAGCACTGTGCTCCATTGTGCAGCACACCCTAACTTAAAGAATTTAATTTTTTTTGTCCGTGTTAAAACACACACGGTATTTTCTGTCTGACTTACCCGTACAGTTCAGATCAATGCGTATCAGTGGCCCGCTCTCTTCGATGCTTTCTGTTCTCCTAATCCTCATATTGTCTGCAACCGCAGTCGCTGGTTTTCTTCCAGGATTGCTGAAGGGAAGGAGGAGTTAAAAGAACAGTAAAAAACAATCCCTGCAGAACTCCAGCAGAAAACCACTTGCCTAAGGATAATTTTGTATTTTCCATTGCACTTTGAGACCTGTCAGCCAATTTTAATCATTAGTGTGCACCAGATTAATTTTCTTTAGTTCTGGGTTCTTAAGCTGGCATGCCTTAGAGCCAGTTGCATTGGCACCACTATATTGACCAAGGAGTAATTCGTAAAAATAGATCTCAAACTAATACGATGGGCTGTAGGCGCCCTTAAAGCCTGTTACCCTGTTTTTTATTCCACGCAAGGCTCTCTTTGGCTTGGCAGAAAGGTGTCTTTAGGAAGGTGACGTTCCTCGGCTTTCCCTTTTACATGCCTTAATTATTGTGATTTCGCTCCATCGGTGCGTTTCGTTACATAGGCTGAGATGGTAGCGATTTATTTGATTGTGGAAGTGGAGAGGTTTGGTTATTAGTGTCATGTGCACGTGTGTCGTCTGTATGTAATGGTATCGTATGTATGTAATACAGGAATGTGAGTGTGTGTGTAGAGTTTATCCGTATGTATGTAAAAATTGGGGGAAATATAGATATATGCATCTATTTATAGATCTATTATATTATTATTATAGATTTATATTTATATGTTATAGATTATTATTGTATTATAGACCTATTGTATATTTATACATCTATTTATAGATGCATGTATGTAAAAATTTCAGAAAATATGTGTATATCTTTATATGTGCATATATGTAAAAATACAGAAAGTACACGTATATATACATATATGGAAAAAATACTGGGGGGAAGGTCTGTGCCATCAGCCTTTCAAAACAAACTGAAATAGAAACACATTTGGTGTAAGTTTGCGCAGGTTTCTGTATTAAACAAGATTTGCATGGGGAAGCGCATCCTTAGGAAACGCGCTCGTCTTTCCCTCCCAGCAGCAGTGCGGTGGCACTTAGGGGGTATATCTGGAATTAAAGCTTTCTTATGCGAAATACTAGAAA